ATCCCGCCAGAGGCACCGCCCTCGCCGACGCTGCCTGCGCAGCCCGCCCCAGAGCGCAAGACGAGCACGAAACTTACGCCCAAGGCCAGCATGAGATTGAAGAGGAGCTTCCTGCGGAGGATTTCAAGATCAAGATCGCCCAATGCCACAGAGTCTGACCAGCACGCAATCTCGCAATACTCGTCAAGACAGGATGAGGGCGAGATCTCCCGCAAGGATACTCGCGCTCGCATCTCTTTCTCGGCGCTTTTCCGCCTGGGCAAGAGAAATAGGAGAAATTCGGGACCGTCTTCCTTCTCGAACACATCGCGCGAGACAATGCAGGCATCAGCCGCCGCGGCGCAGATCTACTCGCAGTCGGCAACGCATGTGCCCCAGCAACAGGAAGAGGCGGCCGCGGCGCCGGTACAAGTGCCGATGCCAGCGATCCCCCCACCTGTCAACTACATTCCTCGCAAGGTCAGCAACGGCGTTCCTAAGCGGACCAGGTCGCGCTTCAGGGAGGATTTGCCCGAACTGCCCCTCAGCCCACCCGACTCGCGTGTAGGGTCCCCGGAAGTGGAAATGCCTCTGCCCGTTGTCTCAGAGTCCAAGTCGGGAGAGATTTCGCAGCAGGATACGCCTGCCGTGAGACACGACACACCGACATCAGACCTGCGACGCGTCGATGAGAAGATGGAGAAGCTGGAGAAGATGAGGCAGACGCCCACGTCGCTGCGACACAGCATCCAGCCATCCCCCGAGCCTGTTTCCCTTGCGTCTATCGACTCTGAAGGATCATGGCTCTCCGGCCGCGTTGGCGCCCGCCGCTCGTCGGGCATGCGCGGCAGCATGCAACGCCTCCCGCCTCAGAACGTTAGCCACTCTGCATCGCCCAACGATACGGAGGAAGAACTCGCCGACGACGAGTACCTCTCCAACCTCGCCACGCCGTCCCGCGAAATGCTTGCCGACGAAGAACGTACCCCGCGCAAGTCGACCGGCGACGCGTTCCCCAGCAGTGACGAGGACGAGGTGATGGAAGATGCGGATATGAAGTGGGGGTCGGTCGACAGGCAGCGCGCCACCGTCGTGCAACATCAGAGGGTCAAGAGCCGCGAAGGCATGCTGAAGTCATATGGAGAAGACGGCATGTCGTCGCCCGAGGGCTCCGAAGAAGGCGAGACGCCCCAGCTTCAACGCGCCACGAGCGTGAGCCTCAGCAGGGGCAACGCCAGGCATGTGAGCGCCGGGAGCACCAAGATGCTCGAGGTTTCGCCCCGCTCAAGCGTTGACCACAGGAGGAGCACTGACGCAGTATTTTGATGAGATTATATTTCGGGGGATTACTGAAGATGTTTTGCTAATGAACAGGGGAAGATGAATCGCCAGCCAAGCCTATGAGACGTACAATCACTCAACATTTCCTTATTATCTTTCTACGTCGAAATATATATCGACACCCGACGCTCGCTATCAATTTCTTTACAACTCTATCTATCCACCGACCATATTCACTCATTACATACTGTTTCCTTGCCACTGACGACAAAAACCACAAAAACACTTGGAAAACGACAAAAATCCGGATATGCTCTCAAACTTGGCTGGCTTCATCGACTCCTTTCTACATCTTCGCCCTCGCTCTCAAAAATCTATGCGACTCTTTCTCCTCGCCGCCTATAACGACACCCAATACCGACCGACGCGGAACTTGCCTCGAGAGTCGTAGGCTCCTCTTCGATTCATCTGATGTACGATACGACCTTAACGACCCGCACCTTTCTTCTTTCCGCCGACGACGATGACGACGCGTTCTCTACGTACGCGTTTCTGTGCGGTGGCACTTGTTTCTTCGTTTCATGTTCTCGGGAATACAACGTTTGATACCACATCTCCTTCCACCTTTCCACTTTCCCCCACAATCCTTTTCCGAAGGGAAATGTGGGAGGAGGAGCAGGAGGGGGAAGCGAGATGATTTGAGATTTTTTGTTTCTTCAATGTGACCCTGTGGAAGGGTCACAGTTGCGCACCCAACAACCAACCCCTTAGACCGGCAGTGACAGCACGTCTGCGCACTCCTTTGATGAATGCTCTGCGGTTCTCTCCGAGGAGACGGGAAAACAACCTAGATTTGGGGATGGGGAAAACAGCACGAAAGGAGGGGAATTCAGAGGAGGATAGGGAAAAATCGGAAAAGAGCGAGCATTCGCGGCGATGCGCTGCCATTTTGGCTGAAGGGGAGGAAATCATGTATGTAGTAAAGGCATAACAGCAGGAGGGTTTTCCTGGATGAGATACCCGAGTAACTCGTGTTCTGGAGTAGTGGTACACTGCAGGTGTATCAGGTGAATGAGAAACCTTGAAACGAACGTATTTGCTCTGAACACTCTAATTTGACTTGGTGTCCTTTTGCAATTCCTTTTCTGTCATGTATCTGGTCCCTCTCATATAGAGAGAGCCGGGGTATCTCTACAAGCCACGCATTGTTATTGTCCACTATTTCCCAACCACATTTGAACAAGTACCTCCTTTAAGCTATACTTCTCTATCCTAAGTTTCTCTTTCCTAAGTTTCTCTTTCCTGGCTTTCTCTTTCCTGGCTTTCTCTTTCCTTCCATTATGACTATCATCGTCTATACATTTATTAGAGAATACTCTCTGGAAAAGGCCTGGGAGACGGACTGGGCGAGAGCGATAACCTAGCCCCAATCGACGGCGACCAATTTCCTCCTCCCCCATCCGAGCCAGATCCTGACGCTGAGCCCGGTCTTGGAGTAGGAGGCCTATCCGCGAATTGCATCTCGGCGAACTGATCGTCTTCGAGGATGTAAATATTGGCAAGCTCGCCCTGCAGAAACTCGCCAGTCGACGCAAAACAAAACTTATCGCACATGATACGGCGAAAGTACGAAGTCTTGTGTCCTGCGCGACTCGCCGCTACGAGCACCGGCTCCAAATACAATCCAACCCGGGTACGCGGCGAGGTTTCGTTTGACCGGCCGCTCGCACCGATAGGCACCACAAACACGGTCTGTGGAGCCGGACTGCCACGGGGCCCGCCCCCGGTAGCAGGCGTCAAACGCACAAGGTTGGCAGTGATGCAGAGGCCCATGTTGGTCATGCTGAACTCCCGAAACGGAGACGGCGGGAGCAACGCGCGCTGGTGGACGTCGTGTGAGTGGGCAAAATCGGCGGGCGAGTCGGCGAGCAAGCCCGACGTCACAGTTCTGGATCGGCGTTCGCCCGTGTACGGGTCCACGAGCTGCTGCTGCGGATCCGCCCTCCACGCGAAGATAGTTTCGTCGGGAGATGCCCGTATGATCTCGTGTTGGAGACGTTGGAACGCGTGCTTGAGCCCTTCGCCGTACAACACGGGGATATTGACGCCGAAGAGGCCCATGAGGCAGTAGGCTAGGTCTTCTGCGCGGGTGGTCTGGCGATTTGCTGCCCAGGACATGCGTTCTGCGACGGAATAGTCGCGCGGGTGGCGAGTTTTGGCGAGGACAGATTCAAAGATTCCTGTGATGGAGGAGAGGGCCTGGATGAAGGGGCGTTCATCGGTATGGACGCCTTTGGTTCCGAGACGGGACCAGTCCGAGGTGTAGAAGATTGTCCGCCGGGGCGCGATGAGCTCCTGGAGTGTCCAACCGCGGGTGAACCACTTGGACGAAGCGAGTGATGAGAGCCGGTCCATGGGAGGGGACGAGGATAGGGGCGGTACGTCGGCGAGGTAGACAAAGCAGACACGAGCGAGGAGGTAGTAGGTGTACATGGAGTTGATGGCTTCGGACAGCTCTGCGGAGGAGGTTTTGTCTATGCAGCAGGAGTCGATCCAGGCCCATCCAATGTTGTGACGCAGTGCTTGAGTGCAGCATCCCTGAATTTTGATGAAGCCGGCTTTCTTGGATGCCAGGGGCAGGTTTTGGATGTCTTGGAAGGTCACCTCATCGGATCCCCAAGTATGGGAGAGGATGGCGTAGGGGGGCACAGTACTGCCGATGATGAACATGCGCGGTTCGTAGGTGGTTGTATCGAGAAGCCACATATTGATGGTGATGTCTGTGGTGCCTTCCTCGTCCCTTCGATCTCGGTCCCGAAGCCTTGTTATTCTGTATGGAGTAATCAGACCAGGCAAGGCAACCAAAGGTAAGTGCTGTAGAGGCGACGGGAGAGATGTATTACAGCCCAACAGCCTTGTACAACTTGGGCACAGTCTAGGGTGCTACCATGATGAGTTCAACCGACGCCTTGTTGAGTGACTTGGTGACAAACGAAGAGATTATTTGATAGCAATCCTGGTGTTTTTTTGAGAAGCTCAAGTAGAAGAAGGCAAACTGTCACGAGACGGGAGCATACGGCTTGGTGATTAGGGGTGTGTAAGTCAAGTGCGGTGCGCAGGTGGACACAGGTGCCCCGCCAGCTCCCGAGTGACATCTGGGGGAGGGGCAGCTGAGGGCGGACACCAGCTGGCGGTAAGGGTCATGCGGATGGCGACGGGTGGCGATGTATAGGCGTTAAGCTAGGGCCTGTCACCCCTGGCAGCTGCACGTGCCTGAGTCGACCTTACGTAAGGTACCGGTACAAGCACAGAGTATAAGCACGCAACAACGGGCCAAACAGAAACAAGAAGAGAAACATCAAAAGGGCCCACTCTTGCAGGGCCCGGACCCCGACGGAAGGGCCGCCATCGGCGTCGGCAATGCCACTGCCGCACTTTCCCGGTTTGCTCTTCAGGGGTCCAGGCGGGCACAGGCGGGAAGTCCAGGGTGGATGTGGGTGACTGCCAAATGAGTGTGCTGGGAGGGTGTGTGACAGTGTGTGCGTGTGTCCATGCCGCCCTACGCCTTTGGGGCATCATCTCGGCCATACTTCTCGGCATACCCTTCCTTGCGCAGTAGGTAAAGTACCAAGAGTAGATTACCTTGGACGGAGAGACGTCTTGCAAATCTCTCCCTCGACAAATTCGACTATGATCCCTCAATAACACCTACCGTACTTCACAACCGAACCGAACCGAGCATGGCAACGACCACAACACTGTTCCGAGTGTTCTTGCGCCGTCAAACACTCGGAGCCCAAGGATTGCGAAATCGCTTGGCACAGCAGCAACAGCGCCGCGCCAACTCCAGTTCCGAAGTACCCAAGCCGAAGAGGGCAGAGGATCCTATTCCCGTGCCAAACACCATCACCACAATCCCGTTATGGCAGCGTCTCGGGCCCTTGACCCGCGCCGGGGAGGGTTATGCCCGAGCCCAGCGCAAGAGGCCTCTGACGACGCAGTTCATCAGCTCCTTGGTCATCTATTTTTGCGCCGACCTCTCGGCCCAGAACATGAGCGGCAACGACTACAACCCAGAACGGACGATGCGCTCCCTGATCATTGGCGCCATTTCTTCTATTCCCAGTTATAAATGGTAGGTTCGGTCGTTCTCGTTCTCGTTCTCGTGCTCGTGCGTGTGCTCGCAGCTCCCGTGTGGTTTCCGTCTATTCGAACAGCGACTGACGCAGTATTGTGTTTGGCAGGTTCATCTTCCTCTCCCAGAACTTCAACTATGCCTCGAGGCTCCTCTCGCTGGCCACAAAGGTCGTGGTGAACCAGGTGTGCTTCACACCCGTATTCAACTCGTACTTCTTCGGCATGCAGGCGTTCCTTGCTGGAGACAACTTCGACCAAATCATCGACCGCATCCGACAATGTGTGCCGGTGAGTATTGTCAACTCGTGCAAGCTGTGGCCTGCCGTGACGGCCTTCAGCTTCTCTTTCATCCCGATGGAATACCGCAGCGTCTTCTCGGGCGTGATTGCTGTCGGATGGCAGACCTATCTGAGTTTCTTGAACAGACAGGCTGAGGTCGTCGAGGAGGCAGAGGAAGTACAAGAGAGATCGCATGCGGTGCCGGCCATCGCTGCTCACGAGAGTTCGGTAAAGATGGAGGCTTGAACTTTGACGACGTAGAGGAGAGGAGCGGAAAGCATAGATGTCCTAGACATTCTTTGGCAGCATCATTTTCTTTTGTAGTGCATCGGGACGGCGTTGGGCTAGACGGAGACGGACCATACAGACATGGAGAACGTCATGATCTGATACGATTTTATTCTTAGAAAAAAATACCTTAGACTTTGTACCGTGTTAGCCGACACTGTACTGACACTGTACCCTCCGTGCCAGAGCGACGCCAAATGTGCACCCCAAACTTCGCGCCCATTCCGCCTTCGGGCCCTTGACCTCGTCCAGATCACAACCCTCAAAACCTACCCAACGCTGAGCCATTGAGTGCTGGCCAGGACCGGCAACTCTTCTCTGCAATGGCGTCCATCTGCCTGCGATCCTGCCGCGTGCAGTCCGTCCTCCGATCCGCCAGAAATCCTACCACCGTCCGCCCCAGAATCCCTAGCAACATCCCCCGACGTCATGCTTCTACTGGCACCGGCTCCTCGACGGAATCCCAGGCCGGTTCGGGTCTGAAGACTGGCCTGTACAGCATTGCCCTCGTCGGTTCCCTCTACGTCTCCTATCTCTATGTAACCGATACGAGGGCCTCCATCCACGCATTGTCACCCATGTTGATGCGCTTTGCATGGAGCGACGCCGAGGACGCTCACCATGCCGGCACTGGCATGATGAAAACTCTCTACGATCTCGGCCTACACATCCGCGAACGTGATAGAACCCTCGCCGAACACCCTGCTCTGGCGACGGAAGTCTACGGAATGAAACTGTCCAACCCCATCGGTATCAGCGCCGGCCTCGACAAGCACGCCGACATTCCTGACGCCCTCTTCGCCCTCGGTGCCGGCATCGTTGAGGTTGGTGGCTGCACGCCCCGCCCGCAGGACGGCAACCCTCGCCCGCGTGTCTTCCGCGTTCCCAGTCTCGACGGCATGATCAACCGATACGGTCTCAACTCGCGGGGTGCCGACAGCATGGCCATCACACTGAGGGAGCGCGTGCGCAAGTTCGCTCGCAAGGTTGGCGCGACAGAGCAGGAGGTTCTGGACGGCGAGGCTGGTGTCCCTGCTGGCAGTTTGCTCCCCGGCAGATTGCTGGCTGTGCAGATTGCCAAGAACAAGGAGACGGACCAAAAGGATGTCAATGCCGTTGCTCAGGACTACGTTTACTGCGTGCAACGTCTTGCTAGGTATGCCGATATCCTGGTGGTCAACGTGAGCAGCCCAAACACCCCTGGTCTCCGCGACTTGCAGGCCACCGAGCCTCTGACGAGGCTGTTGAGCGCCGTGGTTCAGGAGGCTCGCAAGGTCGACCGCAAGGTTGCCCCCAAGGTCATGGTCAAGGTCTCCCCTGACGAGGAGGAGGATGCCCAAATTGAGGGTATCGTCCAGGCTGTCTGCAGCAGCGGTGTCGACGGTGTCATCGTGGGCAACACCACCAACCGTCGCACAGGCATCGTTCCCCAAGGCGTCAAGCTTACTGTCAAGGAGCAGAAGGCGCTGCAGGAGACGGGTGGTTACTCGGGACCCGCCATGTACAGCAGAACCCTGGATCTGGTCGGAAGATATCGCAAGAAGCTCGATGCCCAGACCCTCCAAACCGGCTCGGCCGAGGAGGCGGCTGCTATTCCTGATGTCGACGGCTCCCTCTCCGGCAAGCTTCACGATTTGATCGAGGGCAAGGATACACCGAGAAAGGTCATCTTCGCGACAGGCGGCATTACAAATGGAGAGCAGGCGCTCAAGATCCTCAATGCGGGCGCCAGCGTGGCCATGGTGTACACTGGCTTGACGTACGGCGGACCGGGAACAATTACAAAGATAAAACGGGAGATTAAGGACCAGGCGTAGAATACCAACTTCACAAATAGAAGATTGACTGCTCAGTGCAGAATAATCCGGGCTCTTGACATCTGCTCTCATCGTATGAATCGAGTAGATCAAATGTGCGGACCCCGAGAAATCCACCCCGCCGACTCTTGTGGAGACTACCCCGAGAACTAAGCCACCACAACCCACCATAATCTTAACCAAACAATTGATGGAATCGCGCATAGTAAGTTCCTCTCCGCAACACAAGTTTGAAGAATGTTGATGTATTATAATTTGGTTGCCTTTGCGGCGTTGTAAAGGAGGGAGAAAAGCAACTGCAAAACGCCCGACTCCGTGTGACCTGGCAGCAATCGGCGCCTATCAAGCTACCCTTTCCTGCGTACAATCATATTCTCCTGCCACCTCTTTTCCACGATGATGCCGTTGATGATGCCCTAGCAATGCAAACCGCCGATCCTCCTCTAAATGCTAGACTGAGACCGGGTACTATGTCTACTCCTGGCCCGCGAGGACAAACTCGGGCGCATTCTCAAAGCCGACAACGGTTACAGGCTGAAGCTGAGCAAGCTTCACCAGCTTCTCGCGGGCTGCTTCGTTGAGCTTGACCTCACCATTCTTCTCCTCGCGAGGGCGCACCTCGATCCCAGTGGGGTAAAGGTGCTCAATCTCGACATCCTCGCCGAGCTCAAAGAGCTCAGACTTCTCACGGAAGCACCAAGGACGGCCGTCTCTCATGACCAAGTCGTGCGTGTCGCGGACGTCCTTGGCGTGCAGAGAACGGTACCCGCCGTCTAGGGAGACGGCGATGGAGCTGTGCCAGGGGGTACGGGGGAAGCCGTCGGGGTTGTGCTTCTCGACCAGCAGCGGCATGGAGAGCTTGACGGCGCCGCTGGAGGGGTGGATGGAGAGGCGGACATGGTCGGGGCAGGTGGCGAGGATGATCTTGGTGAAGGACTCGGCGCGCATCATCATCTTCATGGCGACCTCCTTGACAACCTTGCGGTACTTGTGACCCGAGGTGGCGTGGGCCGCAACGGGACTGTTGCGAAGATCCGTCTCCAGGAAGCGGATGAAGCCGCGGTAGGTCATGAGCGTGTCGTTGTCCGTCTCCATGAGGGCGCGGACGTCCTTGTCCGGGTCGCCGAATTGAGCCTCAAGGGTCTTGCGGCTCTCGTCGACAAGTTCCATGTACTTTTCCTTGGTGAGGGGCTCGTTTTCGTTGGTGAGGCCGAGGAAGTCCATGACGCGGAGGAGCTTGATGCCGTCGTAGCCCTTTTGCGCTGCCATGTCCATGAGAGTGGCGCCGTACTCCCAGGTCTCGTCGTCTGAGATGCCGACGACGTCTAATCGGCGAGTTAGATATCGGACACACAAGTATGGCTTCCCAGGAAGGGAAGGGCTTACCGTTGAAGACCAAACCATCAGTGGCAATGTGAACCTCGGCACCATGGGTATAGACCTTGCCAATTTCCACGCAGAGGTCGTTGAGTCTTGCAAGGGCCAGGTCCTCTCCTAGATCAGGGAGAACACCCGTCACCTTGTCGGTGCGGTTGATGCTCTTCCATGGGAAGGCAGGGATGATCATCTTGACTGACTCTCCCTTCTTGACGTACTCCTCAACACGACCGTGGAACATCTTGCGTCCAAGCCACTCGTGGTTCTCCTGGCCCTCGGGGATGATGTGTCTTCCGAAGGCTTGGAGAACGTCCAGAATCTTGTGAGCGACTTGCTCAGAAGACTGCTCGAGGGGAGGTGTGGGAAGTGTCTCTGTGATGGTAGGGGCATCTATATCCAGGGTGTTAGTTGGATGGCTCTCGAAGCAACAATGATGGATGTAGCTCACCTCCTTCAACGACATCGTCGATGACGGCATCGATGCTGGCATTTCTCAAAGGGCTATGGAAAGCACTGAAGGGACTTTTCGTTGCGCTGACAGGGCTCCTCAACGTCTGTTCAGGAGGCTGCAGGTCGACGGGGTCAATGGGAGAACCGATTTCAAGGTCGGAGAACCCGACACGCATCTGCCTGAGAGGGCTGAGGGGGCTTCTTAAGTCTGAGACACTGAGGGGAGAGATGGAGCTGAGGGGGCTCTTGAGCTCCGAGCCAAGACTCGGGCGTCTGTAGGTCGGAGCACGGAGCTGGAGAACCGGTCTCGCCATGAGTTTCCCGGTGGAGGCTGCCGGCTTCTTGGCGTCCGTGGGAGACACGGGGACGGGGTCTGCTGCGGAGATGGCCATTTTGATGATTTGCTTAGGTATGGGAGAAGGAATTGAGAAGAGATAGGGAAAGTGAATACCGGAAGACGATGGCAATGAACTTAAGAAGGAAGAAAGGAAATGTTGTTTGATCGTATTAGAGGAAGAGGGTGATCTGGGTTGTAGATAATCGATATCAACCATGGCTGGTCTTGGAGATTCTTCTTATACTTGAGATTCACTTTAACCTGGAATAGGTAGGGACCTCCTCAGAGAATGCCATCTGGATATCTCGTAGTATTCCGCATGCATTCAGGACGCTACTCGGAAACTTTCCCATTGTCGAAGCCCAGGCTTGAATCGCAGTGCACCGTGGCGTCTAGGCTGAGCTACCACAAGCCAAGGCTGGAGTCTGGCCATGGATATGCATCGTTACATGGGAGTGGCCGTGTCTGCATGCACCTGCAGAGCGGCCGAGGGTACGCGTTGCCTTTCTCAATGGTCTGACTACCTTTACCTGACTTGACTCAAAATAAGCACACCTGATGGTCCCAGGCTGGAGGCAAAAGGCATTGTCTTACCTCGTGTCGGCGATGAGACTAGGTCAACACCGGCTATACCGGCATGATGGGCACGAATCCTTAGCTTTACCCACTGCTCGCGCGTGCGTCCCCTGATTTTCATGATTGCCAAGAACAGATGGGAACTTGGTGGTATCCATGAATCTTGTGGAGGCACCTCCCACGTTTGGAGGCTTTTGGAACGTAACACAACCTAGCCCTAACCGTGTCGTTTGGCTGAAGAGGCTTGACTTGGCTGTTGGCTACTAGTCCCAGAGCAGGTCAGCCAATGGATTGACACGTCTGGATTAGTCCTGGCCTAAGTGCTCGAGCTAAGCCCATCCGATTTTAGGTTCGGGAAGCTGGGAAAATGATCCATCACCAAATGTGTCTTGAACTTGTTGGTTCGCCCGTCGCATTCCGGTCATCTCTGTTGTGTGTCCTAGTCAGCCAGGCTGAGCTGGTATCGCCGGCGCCGTGAGCGAGGCGCTGGTTTGGTAAACTCAATTACATGCCGTATCCGGAGACTTTGGGTAGCTATTTTCGATTTGCCGTAAAAGAACCAATGGCTCGGTATAGCATTCTGCGTCTTGAGCATCTCGATTTCCTTTTGTCGACATGATAACCCCTCGTTTTCTGTTCTAGTTGATCCACAATCGAAAGTTTGGCATTCATTCCTCGAATTGCTTCCCATTCTTCGGTAACTTTACTGGACCAACTAGCTTCAAGTTGCTCACATTTCGGGTCGCCATGATGGAGAAAGATCTCCCAACTCTGCCCATCGTCCAAAGCGTGCCATACGATGAGCACCATCAACTGGCACCTTCCGAGCACCACGCCCACACCACAAACTACGACCACAACCAAGTAATCATGTCCAACAACGACGAGCATCATGTCCGACCCCAAAGCCAGAGCCTTTCCGAAGGCCAACAACGATCACTACAGGCAGACGAAGAAAAGGCTGAACTAGTTCATCCCGTTCTTGACGGGCCAGACGGTGGTTTCCAAGGCTGGCTCCAAGTCCTCGTCGCATTTCTGCTCGTATTAGACGGCTTCGGTTTCATCACTGCCTTTGGCGTTTTCCAGGCTTCATACGTCAAAATTTTACCGGACAGTTCAACCTCCGACATCTCATGGATCGGTTCGATGCAAATATTCCTCCTTTTCCTCCTAGGAACCCTGAGTGGCAGACTCATCGACGCCGGCCACTTCAGAATTACCTTGATCACCGGCATCGTCTTCCAAGTCGGAGGCATCTTTGGAGCCTCATTCTCCAGCAAATACTGGCACTTTTTGCTGTCACAAGGCATAGCCACGGGTATCGGCAACGGTATGCACTTCACCGCGCTCGTCTGGCTGGTCTCGCAATACTTCACAAAGAGGCGGGGTCTAGCGCTCGGGATCAGTTCCTGCGGTGCTCCCATCGGTGCCGTCATCTTTACCATCATCGCTCGTGAGATGATCCCAAGAACGGGAATCCAGTGGACGCTTCGCACTATGGGTTTCTTGGTTCTTGCTGACAGCATCGTCATCTACCTCATTGCGCGACCTAAAGCTGCGACCCGCAAGGGTGGTCCCTTGCTCGAACTGTCAGCCTTCAAGGAACTGCCGTACCTCTTATTCACCGTTGGCATGTTCTTCGCCTTGTTGGGCGTCTACTTCGCATATTATTATGTACGTATCTTCACGGATTGTCTCTTGCCATTTTCATCAGAAATGATAGACTAACATCTTCCTCACCAGGTCCCCCTTTTCAGTCGCAACAAGCTCAACCTCGATGACAGCGGAGCCTTGACTGTCCTCATCGTCATGTCGGCCGTGGGCATAATTGGTCGACTTGTGCCCCCATACCTCGCTGACAAGAGCATCAAACCTCTCAGAACACTCGTTATATCACTGCTTTTGAGTAGCCTCAACGTCTTTGCCTGGATCGCCGTGAGCTCCATGGCTGGACTCTACGCCTGGGTCATTGCATACGCCTTCACCGCCAACGCAGTGCAGACGCTCTTCACGGCATCGATGGGCGAGGTCACGTCGGACATGTCAAAGCTCGGGGTACGCATTGGCATGGTCTTCACCATTGTCAGTTTTGCTTGTCTCGCTGGTCCACCCATTGGCGGAAGTCTTGTTGGGCTGAATCACGGCGATTTCCTCTATGCGCAACTATTTGCTGGCGCTTCCATGCTGCTGGGTGGTCTTTTGGTTGCACTTGCGAAGATAAAGCAGGTTGGACAGAAGGACTTTTGGCGGATTTAAGACTCTCGTTCACCTTCCTTTTCATCTTTCTTTAAGGATACCATATTTTTATCTGATGCAACTGCGCTTGCTGTAGCAAAAGCATCGGATGGCGTTTCCCAGTCTCGGGGGGGATTGGCGTAGGGCGTTTGATTCTGGATTAGATTATTGGGGACAAGGGTGAGAATTCGAAGTATACAATATTGCCAAAGAATGAAATATCACTTGCCACCATATCTATTGGCGAACTCCCGCATCGAATCCATGGCATCAGAATCTTCCGACGGGCTTCCCTCACATCGCGTTCATGTTATTCACGGCTCATAGCAAAGCCCTCCATCCAAGACCGGAAATTGCGGCACATTCTTGGCAATCTTGGAAGCTTCCCCCTCACCGGATATCAGGCAGAGAAGCTCGCACTCTAGAGCTATCGTGGCTTACCCAGAATTCGGGCCAGAGGGTCTTTGAAGCCGTTTCGAGCTTGGCGCCAATCGGCTAGTTGCTATGGCGTCTTTGAGTAAACCGCCCTATTCGCTGAAGAGAATCGGAAAGTAGAAATTCATCTGAACGACACTTGACAGCCCTTTGCTGAAATCGATGTAGGATGCAAGCGGCTTGACATCTTTGGCTAGATCAGTTTAAGCGAGCCAGCTTTTAGCTCGTACCTTAAATCCTTTGTCAAAGTGGCTATTCCTATTCGACGGAAGCCGCTGCGAGCCCAGTCAGTCGACTCACTCAACTTGATCTAGCCAGCCTAGCTCGTTCCACAGCCCTAGAACCAGCAGTGCGGTGCCACGCTTCGCCGAACGTGACACAGAGCTAATAAGTTTCCGAGACCAGAAATAAAACAATCAGGTGGCGTGCTCGAGAATATCTTAGCACACTTGCCACAGCAAGGGGTATCACTCAATGGCACCAATAAATTATCAGGCAAATTGCAGGTCGGCAGCAAACAAGCACAGCAGCAGACCCTGGCTCTATGCGATGAGTACCTTAGTATCAAACCAAGCAACCTTTGCAAACAAGTTGTCTACAAGTATGCCGGCAGATCCGTGCTTAAGCGGCATGGCAACCATGTATGTCAGGTATTGTGGCGTTGGCCGCGTGCGGCAACTCCTCAATTGCTGGCATTTCAGCTTCAAGCCACATGCAGCTCGACGTCTTGCCCAGTCGTTCAACGCTCAGCCCAACCCGACGGGAAAGCCACGAGCGTGCCACCTCGGAAGCACCGTAAGACCCTGGGATCCCGACATTCTATTTTCTCTCTGCCCTTGGCGTAAGTCTGGGGGCAAACTAACCCCATGCGCCGGGATCACGAATGTCGCCGGCCGGCTAGGCAGTTCGACGAATTCCGTGAGGGCCTTCTCAAATAAATGAAATGCACAGTCAGATGGCAGTGTTTTCAGTTCTGATGCATTAGTTATAAGTCGTACGCAGACGTCTGGGTCGCACTTTTCGGTCCGTTTTACTGTCACTTCAACCCTTCCATCACTGCCTTTGCCTTTGGTCCCGACAACAAGATGAAGCCTTCAGTATCAGCGGCCTTGAGGTATTTCAAATCTTCTCACGCGAGCCTATTCTTCGTCAGCGCTAACATACTCCAAGCTTGTGTGGCCTCCTTTCGGGTATCTCACAGACAGTGCATGCCTTGTCTGGGACTGCGGCGAGTATCTCCACAACTACGCCAACCCCAACCTGTTTGCCCCGATATTTGGGAGCCAAATCGAGCGAGAAGAAAGCTAGCCCACCGTGGGGTAACCGCACATGCGAATCTGATCCTGAGAATGTGCCTGACACTGGCGTCGTGCGAAAATACGAGTGGACGATACAACGGGCTGTCCTAGCACCTGATGGATTTGGTACGTTACATCAACCCTTAGCCTCACCATCAGATGATCTCTATTTCGATCGAGCAAGGCAGATCGCATCTTTCGCCTACCCCTAGCCAGTGACTGATCATAGTCATTGCCTACAGAACAAACACTTCTCACTGTCAATGGCCAGTTCCCTGGGCCTCTCGTTGAGGCGAACTGGGGGGATATTGTCGAGATCACCGTCCACAACAACATCACGGGTCCGGAGGAAGGCACAGCGATGCATTGGCATGGGTGAGTCCATAATAAATCACGTCCCCACAGCCGTTGGCTACTTTATGCTAACGTTCTTACAAGCATACACCAGCAAGGGACTGGACTCATGGATGGAGTCAGCGGTATCACGCAATGTCCCATTGTACCTGGTGGG